TGCTGCTGTTGTTGCTGCTCTTCCATCAGTAATTCCTTCAGCAACAGATGCTAGAAGAAGAAACAAAAAATTTTAGCGAATTCTGAAAATGCGCAAAAAGGGGCTACCAAATTTAGGAAATTTTACTTTCGTTCGTTTTTTTTCTTCATTCTATGGTTAGCTGTCAATCGAAAGTTGTAATAAGGAGGAATGAAATAAAAAGAAAGAAAAAAGAGATGAGAAATGAAAATTAGAAAATTTGTGAGATTATTATAATGGTAAGAAATGTTTCGGTCCATTAAGTCGTATACATTTCTTACCGTTACCACAATTGGACCTCGTCGAAAATTGGACCTTGTGTGGTAATTGATGTTAGTGAAAGTTAGGGTTAAATTAACTTAAAATCACTGTTTATACAGTGTGTTCTTTTTCAGAGATAATGAGCCTGTAAACGAAAAATGCAGAATTTTAAGCCGAATCGTAACAGGCCATCTTAGGCTTTACTTTATCATCGAACTCTCATAACTGTACTTTAAAAGATTGTTAAAATAACAAAAAATGGTGTCAAAAGCACCGATTATTATTACTTCCATCTCGAACTTTTTTCCAAATCCATAATTCCGTCTCTTTAAGAAGCTGTGCTTCCAATACGCGTTTGCACTGTGACAATTAAAAATGGTAGGCATTGAATGCTCAGGTGAAGAAGCATTTTTTGCATATTTTTCAGCAGGTTTTTATCGCTAGCAGAAAAGCTTTTTCCTGCAGATGTTTCTAGCCAAAAGAATTGAGACTGTCAGAAAACATCCCCTTAAATTTTCAGCTTTCTACCTTTTCTGGTTCCCGAATTAGTAGCTTATTCGCAAAAAACTCTCACGGACCCGTACGTAAGGACCGCGCATACGTGGGGCTGGGTTTATTAAAACCAAAGTGGACTTTTGGAGCATCCCTTTAAAATTTCAGCTTTCTAGCTTTCCTAGTTTTCTAACCATCAGCTTACCGCCAAAAACTTTGATGAGCCCGTACGTGGGAACTATGTGGGTAAGAGCGCTTATTTTGAGGAAGGGAGCTCAACAATATGCATTTTGTGCGACGGCTTCAACATAAAACGCATAAAAATCGCGCAAGCAAACAAAACTTGTTAAGAATTAATGCCAGATTTAGTTTCTTTTTTGGACCACTTTAAAAAAAAATGCATAATTTTTACCTAAATAATCCAGAACAGAGCTGACCGGCCCTTCTTCACTCCTTGACTCCAAACCGGCAAGTACAAACATATCGTCATAAAAATTGGGTCCGGAGCGACGACGATGCCCATCCATGCTTGTCCAGGCCGACGACGATGTCCCTCTATGAGAACGGGGCTCGTAACGCGTTCGTCGCTGTGGGCCTGTTGGTAAATTTCGCCATCTCATAGACCTCTAAAAAAATTTCGGATGTATTATCGGAAAGACTGAATAAACGAGAAAAAAAAAGCATTTTATTCTTCTAAATTCTAAAAAAAAAAAAAAAAAAATTCAATAAATGCCAGGAAGAAACAACTCGCCAAGTACCTTGTACTGTATTATCCTTGTTTTCCTGTATTTTTTCACTTTTTTGAAAAAAAAA